TGTAGTGCTTGTAATGATTTGACTGCTATTAACATCTTGTTATATGTGTAGTGCTGCTTTCACAGAGGAAAATGTCTCTCTTTGGCGTCAGGGAATCCCAAACAATGGCACTTTGACCTTTAATTTGCCAAATTTAGTGATTACACAATAAATCAGTGGTTTTCAGTTGGTTTGTTCTGATGGATATTTATGAGAAAACAGTTCACAATTTACATAATAAAATGCAATTAAACATAATTATGGTTAGGATATCAAAGTATTAACTTTCAAAATGCAATAGAATGCATTCTATATTATTTATATGTAACGTCAAAGGCTGTGTGATGAACCCAAAATGTATTATTAATGACAATTATTCTGTCATTTGAAAACTTTTTAAATGTCAAGATTTATTGTAATTTCATGTATTTAGCCAAGGGTTTATTCCCAGGTAAATAACATTTTTAACAATTGTCACTTTTCTCATTCATGTTAATAATCGTGCATATTATTAATTTCTGGCTTATTTTTCTTTGTAAAATCCTGAATCAAAACCAAATGCACATTCTTCAGATAGTCCCCTCTACCGCATTAAAACCCGCCCCGGCTCTGGCTATGAGGTCAGTCTAAACATGCATCTACACATTTCCATAACTAATTTGTATCAGACATCACATACCCTCCCTTTTCCAATCCATTAACACCCAACTGTCTTCTCTAATAATGACCCTTTCCTCTTCTAACCTTTGGCCCGTATCATTCACCCTCATTTTGGCCTGTAGCCCGCTGTCATTAGCATCCACACCAGCTGCCATGTGTTCAACCGAGCCGATCGTTACACTTCGGGAATGAGTCGGTCTCTATGCATCATTAATGATTAATTAATGCCAAGCGTCATAAATAAGATCATTTATATGGACAAGCTCCTCAGTTACTCTGCCAGTGGTGACCAAAACCCCAAAGGAGTAGAAGTGGAGGGTCATTTGAGAAGGAGTGTATGTGTAAGTGCCACTGTCAGTAAACGCCAATTTGAGTTAATGCTACATATCTGTTTTTTTTCTTTTATTAATAGAAAGTTCAAAATAACTGCATTTAACTGAAATAGAAATCTTTTGTAATATTACAAATGTCTTTACTGTCACTTTTGATGTGTTTATTTATAAAAGAGTGTACTGTACTATGAAAAGATAAAATTTCCTCTCCAAGTCAAATAGACCATATATTGTGAAACCAAGCTGGTTCTGAAATCTGAAGACCTTGTTTGTGATATCAGAAACCTAAAATATATGAAAAACGTCTCAGGTTACTTGTGTAATCATGGTTCCCTGAGTAGGGAACGAGACACTGCGTCCTCTAGGTTTCTTGCCATGCTGCGGACGCAAGCTTCAGACGAAGAAGTGAATGATGTGTGCTCCCGGCGCCTATTTATACTATAGTCGCACCGGTAGTGATGTCATGGCTGTCGCCGGCCAATGAGTTGGAGTTTTTTCAATGTATGCTTCAGACACGGGTCACGACGAGGCGTTCCCCATAGCGACCCCTAGAGGACGCAGTTCGAAGTTCCCATGAAAGGGAACGTCTCAGGTTACTTGTGTAATCATGGTTCCCTGAGTAGGGAACGAGACACTGCGTCCTCTAGGTTTCTTGCCATGCTGCGGACGCAAGCTTCAGACGAAGAAGTGAATGATGTGTGCTCCCGGCGCCTATTTATACTATAGTCGCACCGGTAGTGATGTCATGGCTGTCGCCGGCCAATGAGTTGGAGTTTTTTCAATGTATGCTTCAGACACGGGTCACGACGAGGCGTTCCCCATAGCGACCCCTAGAGGACGCAGTTCGAAGTTCCCATGAAAGGGAACGTCTCAGGTTACTTGTGTAATCATGGTTCCCTGAGTAGGGAACGAGACACTGCGTCCTCTAGGTTTCTTGCCATGCTGCGGACGCAAGCTTCAGACGAAGAAGTGAATGATGTGTGCTCCCGGCGCCTATTTATACTATAGTCGCACCGGTAGTGATGTCATGGCTGTCGCCGGCCAATGAGTTGGAGTTTTTTCAATGTATGCTTCAGACACGGGTCACGACGAGGCGTTCCCCATAGCGACCCCTAGAGGACGCAGTTCGAAGTTCCCATGAAAGGGAACGTCTCAGGTTACTTGTGTAATCATGGTTCCCTGAGTAGGGAACGAGACACTGCGTCCTCTAGGTTTCTTGCCATGCTGCGGACGCAAGCTTCAGACGAAGAAGTGAATGATGTGTGCTCCCGGCGCCTATTTATACTATAGTCGCACCGGTAGTGATGTCATGGCTGTCGCCGGCCAATGAGTTGGAGTTTTTTCAATGTATGCTTCAGACACGGGTCACGACGAGGCGTTCCCCATAGCGACCCCTAGAGGACGCAGTTCGAAGTTCCCATGAAAGGGAACGTCTCAGGTTACTTGTGTAATCATGGTTCCCTGAGTAGGGAACGAGACACTGCGTCCTCTAGGTTTCTTGCCATGCTGCGGACGCAAGCTTCAGACGAAGAAGTGAATGATGTGTGCTCCCGGCGCCTATTTATACTATAGTCGCACCGGTAGTGATGTCATGGCTGTCGCCGGCCAATGAGTTGGAGTTTTTTCAATGTATGCTTCAGACACGGGTCACGACGAGGCGTTCCCCATAGCGACCCCTAGAGGACGCAGTTCGAAGTTCCCATGAAAGGGAACGTCTCAGGTTACTTGTGTAATCATGGTTCCCTGAGTAGGGAACGAGACACTGCGTCCTCTAGGTTTCTTGCCATGCTGCGGACGCAAGCTTCAGACGAAGAAGTGAATGATGTGTGCTCCCGGCGCCTATTTATACTATAGTCGCACCGGTAGTGATGTCATGGCTGTCGCCGGCCAATGAGTTGGAGTTTTTTCAATGTATGCTTCAGACACGGGTCACGACGAGGCGTTCCCCATAGCGACCCCTAGAGGACGCAGTTCGAAGTTCCCATGAAAGGGAACGTCTCAGGTTACTTGTGTAATCATGGTTCCCTGAGTAGGGAACGAGACACTGCGTCCTCTAGGTTTCTTGCCATGCTGCGGACGCAAGCTTCAGACGAAGAAGTGAATGATGTGTGCTCCCGGCGCCTATTTATACTATAGTCGCACCGGTAGTGATGTCATGGCTGTCGCCGGCCAATGAGTTGGAGTTTTTTCAATGTATGCTTCAGACACGGGTCACGACGAGGCGTTCCCCATAGCGACCCCTAGAGGACGCAGTTCGAAGTTCCCATGAAAGGGAACGTCTCAGGTTACTTGTGTAATCATGGTTCCCTGAGTAGGGAACGAGACACTGCGTCCTCTAGGTTTCTTGCCATGCTGCGGACGCAAGCTTCAGACGAAGAAGTGAATGATGTGTGCTCCCGGCGCCTATTTATACTATAGTCGCACCGGTAGTGATGTCATGGCTGTCGCCGGCCAATGAGTTGGAGTTTTTTCAATGTATGCTTCAGACACGGGTCACGACGAGGCGTTCCCCATAGCGACCCCTAGAGGACGCAGTTCGAAGTTCCCATGAAAGGGAACGTCTCAGGTTACTTGTGTAATCATGGTTCCCTGAGTAGGGAACGAGACACTGCGTCCTCTAGGTTTCTTGCCATGCTGCGGACGCAAGCTTCAGACGAAGAAGTGAATGATGTGTGCTCCCGGCGCCTATTTATACTATAGTCGCACCGGTAGTGATGTCATGGCTGTCGCCGGCCAATGAGTTGGAGTTTTTTCAATGTATGCTTCAGACACGGGTCACGACGAGGCGTTCCCCATAGCGACCCCTAGAGGACGCAGTTCGAAGTTCCCATGAAAGGGAACGTCTCAGGTTACTTGTGTAATCATGGTTCCCTGAGTAGGGAACGAGACACTGCGTCCTCTAGGTTTCTTGCCATGCTGCGGACGCAAGCTTCAGACGAAGAAGTGAATGATGTGTGCTCCCGGCGCCTATTTATACTATAGTCGCACCGGTAGTGATGTCATGGCTGTCGCCGGCCAATGAGTTGGAGTTTTTTCAATGTATGCTTCAGACACGGGTCACGACGAGGCGTTCCCCATAGCGACCCCTAGAGGACGCAGTTCGAAGTTCCCATGAAAGGGAACGTCTCAGGTTACTTGTGTAATCATGGTTCCCTGAGTAGGGAACGAGACACTGCGTCCTCTAGGTTTCTTGCCATGCTGCGGACGCAAGCTTCAGACGAAGAAGTGAATGATGTGTGCTCCCGGCGCCTATTTATACTATAGTCGCACCGGTAGTGATGTCATGGCTGTCGCCGGCCAATGAGTTGGAGTTTTTTCAATGTATGCTTCAGACACGGGTCACGACGAGGCGTTCCCCATAGCGACCCCTAGAGGACGCAGTTCGAAGTTCCCATGAAAGGGAACGTCTCAGGTTACTTGTGTAATCATGGTTCCCTGAGTAGGGAACGAGACACTGCGTCCTCTAGGTTTCTTGCCATGCTGCGGACGCAAGCTTCAGACGAAGAAGTGAATGATGTGTGCTCCCGGCGCCTATTTATACTATAGTCGCACCGGTAGTGATGTCATGGCTGTCGCCGGCCAATGAGTTGGAGTTTTTTCAATGTATGCTTCAGACACGGGTCACGACGAGGCGTTCCCCATAGCGACCCCTAGAGGACGCAGTTCGAAGTTCCCATGAAAGGGAACGTCTCAGGTTACTTGTGTAATCATGGTTCCCTGAGTAGGGAACGAGACACTGCGTCCTCTAGGTTTCTTGCCATGCTGCGGACGCAAGCTTCAGACGAAGAAGTGAATGATGTGTGCTCCCGGCGCCTATTTATACTATAGTCGCACCGGTAGTGATGTCATGGCTGTCGCCGGCCAATGAGTTGGAGTTTTTTCAATGTATGCTTCAGACACGGGTCACGACGAGGCGTTCCCCATAGCGACCCCTAGAGGACGCAGTTCGAAGTTCCCATGAAAGGGAACTTCCATTCCATTTAGGGTGGTCCCTGTAAAAATTCCACTTAGTCTCGTTTTGTTCTCCAGGTTGAGAAGAAACTGGGATCTTTCTAACAAGAGTGGGAGGTGGAAGACAGGTTAAAGTCATGGCAGTTGGGTGGAGACCGGCCACCCTTCTCCTTGTCTTCATCCTGACGTTCCTCTGCCCCTTGGATGGAACCATGTACCTCTCTGGCCAGAGACTGCGGTCTCGTCTTCAGAGGGATCGCCGAAACGTTCGTCCAAACATCATTCTCATTCTTACTGATGACCAGGACATTGAACTCGGTGCGTTGCCCATCTGCATTTCTCTGTATGTGGGTGTGTTTTTGTGTTTGATTGTGAGTATGTGCATATTGCGACATCATGTATGAGTTAATATTCACAATTCATTATCATATCATTTTATTCTTTTCTTAGCATAAGGGCATCTTACACACTCAGTCCAGTAGCTTCGGCCAACTGCTGAGGTCCACTGTGCCAAACATGCTGTTTTTCTACTCGTTTTTTGGCACTTTAATCACTGAAGTGGCAACATAATGGCCTTGCTGCTGGTCTTTGTTCAGGCTTTTCATTCTAACCCTTTTAGGGAGGAAATTTATGGTCAAGCATCTGTTACATAAAACAATCTGGATCTCTGTCTCCCTCTTTTTTCGAATCTACATATATTCCCCGTTTTCCCCCAAAGGCTCAATGCAGTCCATGAACAAAACAAAGCGCATAATGATGCAGGGAGGCACTCACTTCTCCAATGCATTTGCCACCACTCCGATGTGCTGCCCTTCTCGATCATCCATCCTGACTGGGAAATATGTGCACAACCACCATACCTACACCAACAATGAGAACTGCTCATCACCGTCCTGGCAGGCCCACCATGAACCTCACACTTTTGCTGTTCACCTCAACAATTCAGGCTACAGGACGGGTTAGTAGGCAGCACGTATTTATTTTTTTCAACACTGAACTACATTCACAAACTCTTTCGGTTAAAGCATTTGTTAATCCAAAAATTAAATTTGCTGGAATTTTACTGACTCTTTGGCAATCCAAGATGCAGATGAGTTTTCTTCATCAGAACAGATGTGGAGTAATGTATCATTACATCACTTACTCAGCAATGAATCCTCTGCAGTGAATAGGTGCCGTCAGAATAAGAGTCCAAACAGCTGATTAAAAATATTTTAATAGTACAAAATTAATCCACATAACTCCAGTCCATCATTTAATGTCTTGTCAAACAAAAAGCTGTGTGTTTATAAGAAATAAATCCATCATTATGGCATTTTAAATTTAAACAGTTGCTTCTGGCCAAAATACCTAATTCATAACGCCTTCTACAATGAAAAATACCTATTTGCTTAGAACTGTTTTGCACTGTTTTCGCTTGTAAACATTGCTTAATTGGTGAATATTTCTCTCCTGATTCAGACAAACTGACCTTTTCACTGGAGAAAGCTGTATTTTGGATAACGAACTCATATTTTAGCCAGAAGCAACAGTTTGAAGTTAAAAATGTCTTAATGATAGATTTGTTTATTACAAACATGTAGCTTTTCACTTCATAAGCTATTAATTGAGGAATTGGTGTCGAGTGGATTACTCGTAGAGTTTTTAACAGCTGTTTGGACTCTCATTCTGATGGCACCCATTCACTCATTGGTGAGCAAGTAATGCAATGCTAAATTTCTCCAAATCTGTTCTTATGAATGAGTCATTTTTCAGCCACTTTTAATTTGGGGGTGAACTGTTCCTGTCTGACATTTGTGCTTCTGACATTTTCTGATCTCAAAATAATCACTTTGTGTAACAGCCTTCTTTGGCAAGTACCTGAACGAGTACAATGGCTCTTACGTGCCTCCTGGTTGGAGAGAATGGGTAGCACTGGTGAAGAACTCCCGCTTCTACAACTACACACTGTGCCGGAACGGTATCCGAGAAAAGCATGGCACAGAGTATCCAAAGGTTGTCTGCTGTATCTTTTCAAAGAGCATGACTGAACATTGTGTGATGAAACTAATATATATTTCCTACAGTAGTCAGATCTGTTCTGCTCATTCACAATATTTACCCAACATATTAAGGGTTGCACAATGTATTAGTACCATATCAAATGTCGAGCATATCAATTGTCCACAAAATAATACTGTTTTCAACATTTATAATGATAATAAATGTTTCTTGAGCACCAAATCATCATATTAGAATGATTTCTGAAGGATCATGTTATGCTGAAGACTGGAGTAATGGCTGCTGAAAAATCAGCATTGCCATCACAGGAATAAATTATATCTTAAAATGTATAAAAATACAAAAATTACATTTTCAATTGCAATAATTGTTCACAATATTCCTGTTTTATTGTATTTTTGATCAAATAAATGCAGCCTTGGTATGCAAAAGAGACTAATGATGTTTCTTTTACAGGATTATCTCACTGATGTAATCACAAACGACAGCATCAACTACTATCGTATGTCAAAGAGAATGTACCCACACAGGCCTGTGATGATGGTCCTGAGCCACGCTGCCCCTCATGGGCCGGAGGATGCAGCACCTCAGTACAGCAGCGCCTTCCCCAATGCATCTCAACACATGTAAGACTCTCTGTTTCTCTTCATCTTTCTTTCTCTTACACACACACTAAGAGAATTCTCAGTCTGCATGAACAGCTTTATGTGGTCTCATAAATCTCATTCAGTATACATTTTTCAGTCTTCAGCACTTTATCAAATGTTCTCATGCCGTTTGAGATACGACCGCCTAATAAATAATGCTCACTGCATAGTACTGTAGCCACTATTCTCATTTGAACACTAGCTACTTTTAATGAACCAACTCTTATGACTTATCTGCTCTTGGTTTATTGCAGGAACAGAGGTTTGATTATGTATTCTGTGTACCGTAATTGTTTCCATAGCACCTCCGGCAAATGAGTTTACATAGTAGGCTCAAGAGAGATATACAGTGCTATTATTATAATATCATGATTTATTTGTTGCATAAGTGTTCATTCTAAGGTCCCATTAGAGGTATAAACCCCATGGCTGGTGTATGTACTGTTATTTTTGTTTGCTTTGTGGTTTGCTTTTGATTACTCTGCAACTTTTATATTTCATAAAAATTCTAAATTAGCATACGACTTTATCGAAACACAAGCCCTATTACAAGTTCACTGTTATTTTATTGTTTTTTAATTATCATTTTTAGTTGCTCATTCTTAAAGCTGCAGCTGGTATGTGCATGCCATTTTATGCAAATCCAATATTCACAAACCAAAAGATGACAATGCCTTGGCTTATTAAAATATGAAACAGGACTTCAGAATTCAGCACAATGCACAATTTTGCAACAATGACATTTTCAATCCGCAACACCATGAAATTCCTCAGCAATATTATTCAGCAGGTTTAGCACCATGAAGCAGCACACAACGCATTACACACAAAGCTTCGCCATTCACAGACGTTTGTACCCTCAAGATATGCACAAAAATTAGGACTGTGACTCTAAATTCACTTGGCAACAATGTTAAGTTTTATTTATGGACTGTAAAGTGTATTTAAAAAATTTGTAAAATCTTTCAGTGTCGCAGGATTTAACAATTCTGAAAATGTCCCACACAGAACCCCAAGCTACAACCATGCCCCAAACCCAGACAAGCACTGGATCCTGCGGTACACAGGACCCATGAAGCCTGTGCACATGCAGTTCACCAATATGTTGCAGAGAAGGAGGCTGCAGACCCTGCTTTCGGTGGATGACAGCGTCGAGAAGGTCACATGCTAATTTTAACAATATAGCACATATACAAAAAATAAAGTGAAGTGATTGGGTTATGAGTCCGACTCTCTAACCATTAGGCCACGACTTCACCCCAAATAGCTAAGTTGCTTGTATTTCACTGGCAGTGTGGCATTCTAAGAGTGTCCAATAGTAGTGCAAATTTTTCAGTGTCTGCAGTTTCTGCAGTTTATATCATTACACTAGTTTACTGCTTTAAAATATATTAATACAGAAAACAGCTATTTTACATTATAGTAATATTACTATATATATATATATATATATATATATATAAAATCAATTAAATGCATAAGACACTTATTTAAAAAAAAACATTCAAAAAATCTTACCAACCAAAACTGGAATTGTAGTGTAAGTTATGTAAAGAATAATTGACGACGGGCCATATAATTATTAGAAAATGCACACCTGAGGTGGTAATGTAGAAAAAATAGAAATGTAAACAACTAACCTAGATATTGTAAAATGCTGTTTCCTGTTTTTTTCCCCCACAGGTTTACAATATGTTGGTGGAAACTGGGGAGCTGGATAACACCTACATCATTTACATGTCTGATCATGGCTATCACATTGGTCAGTTTGGATTGGTCAAGGGCAAATCAATGCCATATGAATTTGACATTCGAATCCCCTTCTACCTGAGAGGACCTAATGTGGATGCAGGTGCCATGTGAGTCAAAGATGTTAAGCTCACAACTTCACAGTGAAATGCTAAAAATAACACATTGTTGATTCCATGTTTGTGATCTCCTGCAGTAATCCTCACATGGTCCTGAACATCGACCTTGCCCCTACCTTACTGGACATGGCCGGAGTGGATATTCCCTTGGACATGGATGGCAAGTCCATCCTCAAGCTGTTAGAAAAAGAAAGACCAGTCAACAGGTAATCACTGAATTGTGCTGGATGATGACAGTCTTGTCTTCTGTAGAGCTGGTTTTTAGCTGAATTGAATTTCCATAATTGATGAATTTTGCAACATCATCATGTATTTAACGGAACGGAATTGAATTGACTTTGAACTGACTTTAGCTGAAAAACAGCACTGTTGGCCTTCTGTAGAGCAGTTTTTAACTGAACTTTTTATAATTTATGAACTTTACACAGTGATTGAACTGAACTGAATCAGCGCTGAACTGACTTGAGCTGAATGACACTATTGTCTTTTTAGAGCTGCTTTACAGCAGAATTTGAATTGGTTTCATATTTAAAGAAATTAATTGTTATTTTCCTGTTTATTACTGTGAAGTAGCTTTAAAACAGTCTGTACTGTGTAAAGCACTATATAAATTAAAGTGCCTTAAACTACACCAACATAAACATTTAATTCTCGTCATTCAAAAACCCAGACTTTTGTCTTCATATTCTTTCAGTTTTACCAGGTTTCATTCCTACAAGAAGGAGAAAGTGTGGCGGGATTCATTCCTGTTGGAGAGGGGGTGAGTACATTTGATCAGGCCAGATGAACCCATGCATTTTTAATTGATCGCCGTATCACAAACTCTTACACTATCGCTCCGAAAAAGATTTTTAACCCCAGAAATTGATTAGACATGGCTCCATTAGAGAGGCACCAGATGGCACACTGACATCGGACACATCTGCGTGTTTCAAATAGGGGCTGTATCTAATTCTTTGCTGTTTTTGGGTGGCAACCTGATGTGATTTCTTTCTGATCTACAGCAAGCCTCTGCATAAGCTAGCAGATGGCAAAGAGGTGGAACAGAATTCGCTGCCAAAGTATCAGCGGGTCAGAGACCTGTGTCAAAGAGCTGAATACCAGACGCCCTGTGAGCAACCAGGCCAGGTAAATATTCACTTTCAATTACACTACATATTCCCTTGATTATTTCCAGTGATTTCCCTGCTGTTTAGTGCTTTCTAACTAACCGCTCCTTCTCTGTGCAGAAGTGGCAGTGTATTGAGGATCCCACTGGCATGCCGAGGCTGTATAAGTGTAAAGGGATGGCGGGTATCTATGCACCTCGTGCTTTGGGTCTGATGGCTGCCAACAGGGGACAGATCAATGGAGCGCTTTTCGCATCGTACCACTGTGATTGTGAGCCCACCGTACCTGTCAAGAGGAAGAAGGCACTCACTAAAAAGAGTGAGTCATATAGTTTCACACATTTGGTCCTGAGAGTGTCATAGTGTTCTTGCGCCGTTAGTGGTTAAATCGCAAGAAGGCTGTTTTTCTGTTTTCAGAAAAGACCTATTATTATTTTATTTTTTGGTGGATGGATATAAGTGAATCAACATAGTTAAGTCAAAATGTAAAATGGTTAGTTCAAAGGTGGCTTATAATACCTAAAGAAATATATCTGTTTGGTATCTGTTATTTCCATTTATCACAGTGACAATTGCTAGTGTGGTGCAGGAACCCCTGGGAGTAATTGATTTGAAAGCTATTGTTAATGGGTTAATTTCTTGCTTTTAAGAGTTTGGCACCAGTACGATTTTGTTTGTGTGTGTGAAGAAAGAAATGAATACTTTTATAATACAATACTTTTCCGCAAGGATGCATTAAACTGATCAAAAGTGACATTTATAATTTTACAAAAGATATATCAGTTTCCACAAAAATATTAAGCAGCATAATTGTTTTCAACATTGATAATAAGAAATATATCTTGAGCATTAAATCAGCATATTTCTGAATGATTAGAATGATTTCTGAAGGATCATGAGGACTATACCACTATATACCTGTATATATA